TGGTGTCGCAAAATAAACTGTTTACGGCAATATTTTTCATCGTTTTGGTGGTCACTGTAGTGGCTATATTAACTTATTAAAGTTCTCTTATATTTTATATAACCACACTACAGACAGAGAAGCGCCTGTTTTTATGCGTTGTGCTTAGCAACAACAACAGTAACAGCATCACTTGTCCGCTTGTTTATGTTCCACATAAACCTTTCACAATAAAGCTCAAGATCCTGTTGAGACTTTTCAAAATAAACTGAATCACGTGAAAGAGCAGATTATTTACGGATGAGAAGCAAAAAAGAGTCGCCAGGTGCTAAAAAATAGACCTTAGACTCAAACGTTAGAACAGGCTTTTCCCCGCAGCACGCCGTGTAATAAATACTCAAAGAAAACGGCGCCCTTTACAACTTATGTCTAAAAATGTATCGTTTCATGCATCGGTTAAAACGCTCGACTCCAGCTACATGACGCGCAGCTGGAAACACTTCCCGCAAGACGAGCTGCCCGAGATTCACAGAATTTACAGAAAATGTTACGTTTGATTTATATCATTATCGGGACGATAGAATTCTCATATCGGGATATGAGATTTTGGTCATATCGCACAGCCCTAGTTTTCTACTGACCTGAATCATGTTTGTACAGTCTGGTTGCACAAAAGTAAACAAGCTGTGTGGAAATCAAAAGGATGCTGGAATGCAAACCTCTGGCTATAGCCCGATGGTGATGTAGTTGTTTTATATGGCCACTTCATTTGTCCGTGTTTATAAACAAACATCTGTGAACAGGGGTCCGTTCTTCGTACCTCGCTTACTACATCCAAGATCAAATGACACATCCAAGATCAAATCATCGCGCCAACTTTGAGCTCGCTATTCCGGTTCTCCGAACACACCTGTTGTTGACGATTAGTACAGCTGGATGAAGTAATGTGAGATCACTGGGTGGCTTAACAGGGGCTATGCATCAATAGTAGAAACATTGATCTGCAAAACTTTGATTGGTCGGGGAAAATGTCGAAGGAGCGCGCTCAGTATTTTTCGGCAGCAGAGCAAGAACTCTTGATTGAAACTCCTGAAATCCCTCAGAGTTTAATTAAAATGCAAGGGAACACTGCAAAGGCTGCAAAAGCAAGGAGAGAGGGCTGGTAGAAAGTTGCTGACAAATTAAACTCGTAAGTAATTTAATAATAATAATAATAATAATGGATTGGATTGATATAGCGCTTTTCAAGGCACCCAAAGCGCTTTACAATGCCACTATTCATTCACTCTCACATTCATACACTGGTGGAGGCAGCTACGGTTGTAGCCACAGCTGCCCTGGGGCAGACTGACAGAAGCGAGGCTACCATATCGCGCCATTGGCCCCTCTGGCCAACACCAGTAGGGTAAATCTATTATGTTATCATACATTATATCATATTACATTATATCCCCTTTCACATTAGAGCCACACCAGGACCCACTAGAACATGGGAACAAGTAAAAGTGAAATATATGAATATTCTACAGAATGGTAATATTTTTCACTCATATTGCTTTTAGTCTCTTGGAAAGAGACCCTGAAATAATCTGTTTGTTTGTTTATAACAGCAACCAAGAAAAGGGCAGAGCAAAAAAAGACAGGTGGTGGTCCTGCACCCCCTCGTCAACAAGTTGGTTAAGTGAATAATACCCTCACGGGAATATCGATATCTCTCTATGAGCACACTGTCGCACTGAGCTAAAGGATCCTGTCTGTCCCGCAATATACGCTGAATTCTGGAAACTCTCCTTATCAATCTTGCACCTTCCGCAATGGGCTGCTCGCGTATACGGACAGGACATGGCTGCGACAGACTTCCCAAATCCACCTTCGTTTTTTTATAGCCGTGGTCTCTCATCTTGATTACACGAAGTAATTTACTATTACTACTCTAAAATATGAATTACATCTGAAATAATCACATACATGGAATAGAATGATTAATAGTACATTTCCCCTTTTTTAGGAAATGACCTGTATGTATCTGTATGAAATCAATAACAGAATCAAATACTGCATTAGCTTTAGTTACATTGATAATATTTATTTATGGAAAAACAGTGGTAAAATATCGCTGTTGCTTTCGTATAGATGAAGCGGACATACCTGAGTGGCCGCGATCTAATCCTGTTTACATAAAGTAAACCTGCTCCCGAGCAGGTTTACGCTTATGGATCTGTTGCTATGGCAGCAAGTCCCAGATGAGCTTCGGAGAACCGAACAATCCAAGATCACGCGAAATCGTCAACAATCAAATCCAGGTAACTTACTTAGCAAGGTACGAAGAACGGACCCCAGAATAGGAAATCTTGTCCGGTTAGCGACACCAAAAATAAATAAATAAAAAAAATAATAATAAAAATCAAGAGGAAACTCTGCTTCTTTCCTCCCGTTGCAGCTTGCATGATGATGTGCGGCTACATGCTGGGCTAATCCTTTCTCTCACAGCTAGGCCCAATCCAGCGCTTATTACACTCGCCATACACTTAATGTTTAATCTCCAGAATTACAAACACTTCATAGTTAAACAGTCTGTAGCACACAAACCGTGCCAATACCAGAGAGCTTCATTTCCTCACTGAAATCACGATAACCCACTTGGAGCAATCTCAGGAGACTCGTCATTCTACCACACTTCCTTATTTGTATGACTAATGCAAGCTTTTTGATTATATTTAGAGTGGATGGAATCTTAAGGGGTAATAAATTCATCTTTCTGTGAAAACCAAATCTTATGGTTTCTACCATGCTTTAAAAAAGCCTACAGTGCAGGAAGAGTATTCTTCAGTATTCTGTCACTGTGGTGTAAAACACTGTCATCGCTGCAACGAGTCAGCTACGCAGGTTTCCTGTCACTTTACTTAAATAACAACCAGACAGTAAAGTGAACTCTGATGTGGTGTGTGGCACTGATGTTTCCCATCGTGCTGTGTAGTTGCCTTGGTAACAGGTTTGTGGATAAGGATGAGATGGCCTGTGAGGCAAAGGAGAGAGGTGGCAGCCAAATGTGACTGGCAGGAAAACAATTGTGTTGAGGAAGAGGAGAATGCACGGAGGCTAATTTACGCAACTGGAAAAGGAAAAAAGTAAAAAAAAAAAAAAAAAAAGATTGCATCCATAATCCTAAACTTTGAGTTATGCTTCTCAAAACTTCCAGTTAATAAGTCAAAATTTAGAGAAAAATCAGGAAGCCTTTTTTTAAGGTACGTCATTGCTTTGTTACTCGGAAGCAGGAGGTGGATGGCATCAGCTGCCAGTGCTACAGCTGGCAGGCATGAATATGCAAAGTGCTGAGTACTTTCAATGTGGTTTAAGAAATGATGAAATCCTTGCGTTACTCGCCAACATGAATAGCACTTTGTTCATGTTTACTATACACTGAAAGCTGACTGATGCTGTCCACTACACGATTTTGAGTGAGCTAGTGTCAGGGATATTTTTCCCCATTGGTGGAAACACGCGTCGATCTGAATGAATCAGACATAACCATTTGAGTCAGGAAGGAGGTGGTTAAGGAAGGAAGACAGACAGACAGAAAGACAGACAGACAGAAAGACAGAAAGACAGAAAGACAGAAAGACAGACAGACAGACAGACAGACAGAAAGAAAGACAGAAAGAAAGACAGAAAGAAAGACAGAAAGAAAGAAAGACAGACAGACAGAGACAGACAGACAGAAAGAAAGACAGAAAGAAAGAAAGAAAAAAAAAAAGAAGGTGGCGTGGCGATAGACTGATGGGGTGACACCGCAATGAGGATGCAAGAAGAACAAGAGTGTGCAGAGGGGGGGAAGAAGAAGAAAAAAAAAAAAAAGGATAAGAAGAATATTTCTCAGGTCACATTTTTCAGGTCAGTACAGTAATTTGGGTGGACTACATCATCTACTCCGCTCCTTTTTATAGCCCTACCTACCTACAGACAGAGGCAGCACAGGGAGGGCCGGCACACAGGAATAATATGGAGAAGGGACTGTATGTGTGGGAGGTGAAGACAAGACGAGAATCGGCCAATGAGACACCACAGTGATATGTAGACAGACGAAACAGCTGGGAAATTAACACCACCAGAAAACTGCTGCCAAAGCTTAGGTGAATTGAGCAGTCATGATCAAACTTAGCACAAATTTAACAATTTCAAAAAGAGTAGAAGAAAACATACTCAGCTGCTGCTGTAGCTGAGTCAGAGGCCCTCATAGGTGGTCTTCTGAGGTCTTCCCAGGCAACTTACCTCCATTTAGCAAGTAAATTATGATGTTTGATAAAACATTTGGGTCCTTGTTTTTACAGAAGGGAAGCACTTCCTCTTTCCCTTTGATGGTGATTCAAAGAACTAGCAATAACCAGCAATTTTTGAAGACCTTTAGAAAAACCAAATAAATAAGACTGTCACTTTGAGACCATCCTCCACTAAGGCCGCCGCTGTACTGTGCTATTTTAGAGCCACATAAGTTTGAATACGCTCTCTTTGCACAAGCTCCAGCTCTCCAGAAAGTGTCACAAATTTCAGCTTTTTACACAATTTTGCTGAAAAACACGCAAACAGCACTAAAAACCCATGTTTTAGCAATAATAATTACTTCATTTCCTGCTGACAGTGGAGTCATTTGCCAGATAATAGCGTAAACCTGTAGCCACGAGTGTTGAATGTGATGCTTTTATCTACGCCACCATTACTTGTGTAAGCATCCCTCTTATGTCTAGCTTAGTAGCTGGCAGTGCTACCAGTAGGCAGCACTGCCTTACCTGCTAGGGTAAATCTTGTCTGCATGCTCACATGCACACACTCATGCCATGTGCTGAGGTTAAAATAAATAAATAAATAAATAAATAAAAAATAAATACATAAAAACTGGATCTAATCAGACGCTCTATTAGCTAGTGCTCCCTGTGCCTGCCTGCCTGCCTGTAAACACATCTGCTGCGATGGAGATACTGCCTTAGCAGCTATTAATAGCACGTCTTTGCTAGCTAACATGCTAGCAACAGCACCAGGAACAGCGAGACCAAATTAGCTCAGGACTTTCTGCAAAGGCAAGACTGAAATATCCAGCATGTGTTAGCATCACCAGCTTAGCGCTTATGCTTGAAGACAATAGTTTCTTCATAACTGCAGAGTCATTTGTTGTAGATCTATTGAGACCTTTATAAAACTTGTGTACTTGTCAATAATTAGTGTCCACAAAAACACACCGAAATAAAACAGAGCCATATGAATGTAGTCTTAACATGATCATGACAATGTAGAATCTGTTCTGTTCAATTCGACAACTGTGCCATGCACCTCATGCGCTCATGTGAGAGTGGGGAAAGGGAAAAAAGGACAACCGTGAACTTACTACTTTGGTAAATGTGGAGGTCAGCTACCAGCTGTGTTTCTGTGAAAGGACGTCTGTGCGCTTAAGGTGTGGCTGATTAGTGCTTCTGTCACACAAGAGTACACTGCAGCACCATCTTATTGAAGAAAACTGGCTGCATTACTGAACAGAACTAATGTATGGCTCAACATACTTTACTGAAATAGATCATCACTGGACCTCAACCAAGGGGCCATGAAAGGGGGAGAAGGGTTTTGTAGTCTAGCAGCTGAGAAGCCAGCCACACACACACACACACACACACACACACACACACACTCCACACCACACACACACACCACACACACACACACACACACACACACCACACACACACCACACACACAACACACACACACACACACACACACACACTAAACCCAGACACACACACACACACACACACACACACACACACACAACACACACACACACACACACACACACACACACACACACACAGCTATTTTGTGTTGTTAATAGTAATCTCTATAATATTACCACTAACAACAGCTGGAATTTTAGCACAAAATGCCACCAACAAACCAGACTAAAGGATACCGAATTATTCTCCTTTGTAGTTTCCTGGCTTGAACAATACATATGATGAAACAATAAGTAGTTTGCGGCATATAAGGCTATAACAAGCTGCAGAGCTAAATGGAGTGTGGAGGGATAAACATAGCATCACTTGTTTAGCTGACACATGAGAGGCCAAGGGGGTGCTGCTCCCAAGAAAAAGGAAAAGAATAGACAAGCAGCAAACTTTTGTTGTTAGCAGGTGGCTTAGAAATGACTTCTGCAGCCTGAATTTACTTTATCACCCCTCCAACCAAGAAAAAAAAATAAATAAATAAAAATCGAAACACACTGTTGAGTAATTCAGGACGACTCTTCTCCTTTATAGCAAAATTATACATTACAGAGAAGGGTGCAGCAAAAGGTGTGCGAAGAAGGTAAAAATCATGTGCGCAAAGAGACTGAAGAGACAGGAACAGTGAGTCAGCTAACCAGACAGAGAGAGATACTGCACTGTGTCGAGAGGGTGGACAGGAGGATGACAGAAAGAACAGACAAACAATGACTGTGCACACAGCCTGCTGTGTTCAGGAGAAGCACAAAAAGGGAAAAGCTATGCAATGTTCTGTTTAGAAAATAAGCGATCACACAGTAGTGTATGCACGTTTGACAAAAAGGTGAAATTAAAGTCATCTTGCATACCCCTCCATGTGTTACATTAGACAATTACAGTGTGTTAGGTGCTGTCCAAGTGAAGTAAATTAAGAGCACCAAATTCCCAAAACAGGAAACAACTCACCCCGTAGCTAGGACTACAAAAGGAATGAGGACAGATACGGTTAAAAAGCCTGCTGGAAACACTGGTATAAGCACTATAACTGTAGATGAACAGGGGGAAAAACTAAAATACACACCTTCGTCCATAAGATTTCCAAATAAGGCTTTCGTCTCCTCTTGAAATGTGGGGACCTCTGAAAAAGAAAAGGGAGCAAAGTAAACAAACACAAGTTAGAAAAGCAAAGCTAGAGGGATACTGGTTCAGACCGATCCCACCGTAACAATGTTCCTACCATATAACAGGAATAATAACCATCAAGTAAAGTACACCAAATTACACACATTTTTCACCAGCTAAACATGAAGCCTGGCTTTGTAATTTCTAACAATTTTTAATAACATGCTCAAGTCAGTCCGATAAGCTGGATTTCCATCATGACAGTCTAGTTTTTAAAATGGTGCCAGCTGGCTATAGGAGATCAGGAGGGGCACAGCAGATTTAGTGCACTTCCACGAACTACAACCAGCCTTTCAAGGCATTTAAGCCACTCACTGTGCTGCTAATGCACCATACATTAGCACGAGACTTTATATATTGGGGGAAGAAAAAAAAAAAAAAAAAAAAAAAAATTTGATTCACACTGTGCCGTCTTGCCCTACTCCACAATGTCTCCAGTATTGTTCAGTCAGTGCCTCTGTTACAACTCTGACATGTAGCCATTGTGTCTGGGTCATAATAATGTGATCCTCTACAGAGGTGACTGCATGTGGGCTAAACTGTGCACATATGTACATTTCAAAACACAGCTGCCATCTGCCAGAGAAAATTTCATTCTGCCCTTAATATAGAGCACATTTGTCATTGTAATTCGGGGTGGGTGATATCGCCTCAAATTATCATGTCGATATGGCCAGAAATATCATGCCCATTTTACTTCAATATAGAATAATCCAGACAAAAAGCTGGTCACAACATTTTATTGATACTTTCAGCTTGCAGGCAGCACCATTTATAATTGCAACTAAATAAAAGATCATTTTCAATCCTTTTTAAATGAGTCAAATGAACACTACGGCATCACTGAGAGTTACAAACTGTCTAAATCCTTTCACCTTTAATAAAATGATCAATGTGGCCGCTTTACCAGGTGTAACAAATAGGTTTAACATCCAGGCATCCATGAAAACAGAGTTTATGAAGGTTAATAGAGTTAGAAGCAAGCAGGAAGTTGGCTTGCTAGTTTCCACCTAAACATGATATAGCATGTTCTGACTGAGGGGTTTCTGAAAAATTAAGACGTACAGCTCTGCTGTCACTTCCAACATAAATGAAGACAGAAAACTAAACAGCAGTGACGGTTGTAGGGTTACTGAAGTTGGGCTAGCTGGTATATAATAATGTGCTACGTGGTGGGTAGCTACACAGCTACAGTATATTAGCATGATATAAACACATTAGCAGTGAAGCTAACTTTTTTCCCCACTCCGCCTTAATAAATGCAGTGTAGTTTGGACCCGGAAGCAGGGTTGATAAATCATCACTCAAAGATCGGATACTGAAGAGGCAATCTTTTGAAACAAGATGCCAGGAGAAGCAGTATTATATCTAGTGACGCAGCACAAAAGTAACCTAGGTGAAATTGTTTCTAGATACTTCAGGTAAAACATATTTGTTTAACAATAACTTCTGTGACTGTTGAGAATGCTCTGGAAGTTATTTTAAACTAAAATAAAGTTTGTACCTCAGATGTTGGGTCAAGCTATTCAAACCAGCTGCTCAACCACATCAGTAATTTGCATCCACTGTTTGTTATTCTTGTCATATGAAGCGCAGCTAGTGAGTACTCCTGCCACGCTGGGTGAGTCGTGTGTTTACATTTCGGTCCCAAGTCACCGGCTGCTAGCTTCTCGTCCTTTAAAGTCTGGCTGCACCTTCAGTGTATTTGTGCTGGCTAAAGGTGGAGAAACACTTGTCGTTTACACCTTTAACCTCCTAAGACCCGAACTCTTCCACGGCATGCATTTTAAATTTCTCTATGATATTTGGGCATATTGGGACCCGATGAATGTAAAAACAAAGAATTACCTGATTTTTGTTTCTAAGAAAAATGAGAGCCACATATGGGGATATTTGTTTCAAATTTTGATAGAACAGTGGGAGTATAATGTCCTCATAAGTGGATATCAGGTCCTTGTAGTGCAAAATTGAGTATTTTGGTCTAAATAACCCAAAATGTGATGTCCACATATGTGGATGCAGGTCCTAGGAGGTTAATCTGGACAGTTTTCTTGTACATGTTGCAAAGTACTGTGTCCTTATTGGAGGTTGTTGAAGTAGCTCTCATCTTCAGTACTAAATGGGGACTCTTGCTCTCAGATATGCCTGGGCTCATCTCATTGTGCACAACAGGGAACAAACTCATGGTTGTTAGTAAATCTAGCCACTGTTAGTTTAATGGATGAGCACACTTCGAAAGCTTTCACCATGCTAAGAAAGAACAATCAATTTAGATTTGTATTTCTACTTATAAAACACTTAACAAGGAACCAAGTCTCATCAACCATTTTAGATTAGAGTGCCTAATTCATTTCTGACTTTCTCAATGGATACCAGATTGACAAGATCTGATATAACGGAAATCACCATGTGGGCATCATGAAAACAACATTTCCTTTAGGTTAATCTGCAGCCTTTTAAAGCCATTTGCTTTAGACAAAACAAACACATACCTTGGAAAAAAAACAAAACAAACACAACTACATAGCACCTCAGGTACATGTGAAAACAGAAGGACAAAAAAAAAAAAAAGGGGGGGGCACTAAGAGAAGCTAAGATATGCTGCACACTGAAGTCAGGAAAAGTTGAAGTATACGGAAAATAAGCACTCTGGGGAATACAAGAATGCAAAGAGATACAAGTGGGAAAAAGACACCATGAGTAGAGGGGGGGGGGCCAAAAACAAGCTAGGCTTCAACAAACATGCCGTTCTTTGTTCTTAAGTGGCCCACTCCAAGTTTTCATACACACTATAACAGTGTAATTCACAATGCACGCATGCGGCGCCTGCTGAAAGGCTCCTCTGTATTCACCCACAAAGAAACTATTCAGCACATTTTGTCACAACATATGGAACACACTTTCACCAGCTACGCTCAAGCAACAGAAAGGCCAATCAATTTGTCAGCTTGATGCTAACAAAGCTACAACTAGAATTTACACTACTGTACAACATCTTACCCTGCAGATACATGGACAAATGCATTGAGCTGATGATGAGGGGAGGAGAGGGGGCTTTTTGTGTGCTTTACCGTTTTAAAGTGTAATACCTTTAGTCCTGTGCACACTCCTTGTGGCTACACATGAGAAGAGTCTGAGCAAGGAGTTCCAGGGTGGAGCTTGCAGCGATACACTAGCTGGCTTCGATTTCACTTGTACCACAGACGTACAGGTAAAGCATTTATACGCTCCCTTTGCGCCATATTTCTCTGGCCTTTTCCATGGAAACCACACAGTGTTACTGCTGCCCCAAACACACGACAAAACACAGGATCATGTTTCATCCTCCTGCTCACCCATTTGAGAAGAACAAGTTCATGAGGGTTGGGGTAAGCTGAAATGAAAGAACTGTGTCCAGAGAGGCAAACTGATCCTTAATAGCTGGTAAAATGAGTTCTCAGAGGAGATGGCACAACAGAGTGGCCAAGGCTGGAAAGAGAGATGAAAAAACGAAACAAAAAAAGTAGGTCACCGATGTTTTCACTGCAATGCTTCGACACAAACCATCAGATTTGTTTTCTGTTAAAATTAAAACCTTGAAAATCAAGTCTGTAAGCAGTCTGTTGGTGTGTGGTCAGTCAGCCACTCCCTTGTTTCTCCCTAATCGGTCAATACAGGAACAGACAGCAAAGCAAGGCAGTTTAGCCAACTCACAGTAGAGTTTCTTCAACACTGGATAATTATCCTTTAGCAAGTTCCACCTTTGTTTCTCCTGGTGCCAAATTTTCAGGAACTGTTTGGCACTACACCACTGCAGCATCTAACAGGTACAAATGCATCCAACAACCACCTTGTGAAATTGTAGGTTTGCTGGGGGGGAGGAACATTTCCCACAGTCAAACAGGGGTGATTTTGATAGAAAAACAAATCCTGTCCAGTGTACTTGAGTTGGAAGGTAGAAAAAAAATATATAAAAGTTTGATAGGAAAACAAAGCTCTGCTTTTTTGGTTTCTTAAGATGATAAGACTTGCGAGAGAAGGAAACAAAGAAAGTGTCCCAAATAAAGTCACTCCCTCACTGAGCGAAGTTCTCTCCGTCCAAGAGTGTGGTTGGTGTCGCTGCTGCTGGGTGCATTTGTGAGAAAGACAGAGAGCAAAGCTAAGCCGGCATCCAATGTCAGTCCAAACAGCAGCCTCGCTCACACCCTCCCTGCTCTCCCCTGACAACTCCCTACCCAAACACATAACCCTCTCTCCTCAAACAGCTGACACTTGACAAATTTTATTTGCACCTGAAAATATACATACAGAAAGTATACAGACAGTGTTTGTACACGTCTGTATACTTTCTTGCATTTTTGCCTGCCTCAAGCTCGCGTATTTCGCTCCCCTTCTTAGGTGGACATTCCTTATCTCGCTCTCCCACTTGTGTTTCTTTCTCTCTGCCCCCTCCGTTCCACTGCCTCTGTGGTTAAGCAAGTCTCAGATTTCAGCCTCATCTGGCTGCAGGCTGTACCACCAGCTGCCCTCACTGACACCATACCTCACTTTCTCACTGCCTTTTCTCTTCATTCTGTTCTATCGACTTTCACCCTCACATTGCTTGCCACAGTGCAGCAGGTCTGTGCATAGCATTAAGCACTCAAACACTAAATCAGCAGATTCAAACAAAATGATGGTCTCTGTAGCTTAAACAAGTCAAACAAGAAACTTTTTTTAAATCCAGGTCTGTTAGTCAATTTTCTCCTCCTACAAACAGGACCATATTCTCTTTAAAATAAAAAAAAAATAAAATAAAAAAACACATGTGCATAACTGAGCCAACTAAGAAGGGAAGCAAGATTTAAAAAAAAAAAAAAAAAAAAAAAAAAAAAAAAAAACAACAACAACTAAATATTACTGTGAGCTGCAATCTGTCAGCAGGAGAGAAAGTGATAGCTAGCTTAGTGCACAGGGAAACACAGACCCGGTTCACATGCAGCACTCGAGTGCGTCTTGGTGATCTGATCCCATATGGACAGATCTAAACACAGATGTAACTGCCCCCAAACACGATGACTCACGGACTCTGCTTCTGGCCACCATCGTGGCCGACAATAATGCCAGCAATGACGTAGAACGACTGCTGTATAGTGTGTGCTGTGCATGCAAGTACTGCCAAAAGTGCACGTCTATTTTTGAACTGCAAAATAAATCACAAATGATATTCGGGTTATGAAGAGATTCAAACTTTAATACCTTTTTATAAAACAAACTCTGCTTACAAGAAGATAGTATAAGTGATGGATGATGCTTCTGTGTCTGAAAAGTGAAGCAGATGCACAACTTCCTTAAACCTGCGTTCTTTTTATATGTCCACCAACGGAGCAATAACTGCAATTG